TGGGGCTGTGAAAGCTGTTCCCAGAGGCATTGAAAACAAACACCACTTTTCTCTCCTGGCAGCTTCCGTGTGGGAGCAAGCTCCGGGCGTTTGATGTGTTTGAGACGGGCCCTGGGGAGAGTAAGAGCCATGGGGTTTGTGGAGCACTGAAGGACAGTGAGAACAAGCAACCCTTTTCCCTTCTGGCACCTTTGGTGTGGGAGCAAGCTCCAGACATTTGATAGTTTTGAGACCAGCCCTGGGGAGAGTGACAGCCCTGAGGCTTATGGCGAGATGAAAGGGGTTCCCAGAGACAGTGAGAGAAAGCACCACTTCTCCTTCCTGGCACCTTCCATGTGGGAGCAGGACACAGGAACAACCCAAAAAACACAGGTGAAAGGCGAAGAACCCTAAGCTGGATACCTCATGGATGGGGGAGTCTCCGAAGCAGCAGGCGGGGAGAGGCAGGCGAGCAGGGGACACGGGCACCACGGGGCAAGAGAGAGAGACCTTGTAAAGCCAGAGAGTCCTCGTGAGCAGGAGAGCGAGAGAGCAAGAGCTCACACTGGCTGTTCTCACCTGTCTTTCAAGGATTCTGGCAGGCAGAGTTTTCCACCCTGCTTTTTGATCTTCCCCAACAGCAGGGCAGGAGTCTCAGGTGTGTTCAATCAGGTGCCCCTGGGTCCATCCCAGGCCTGCATTATCTAAGTGCAGATGTTCTACTTGCTGAGGACACTTCTATCCCACTAAATAATATTTAAATAATATATGTTGTTTAGTGTATCCCACTAAACAACAATTAGTGGGATGGGGGTGTTTCCTAGCACCCCACGTGCGAGGCACTGGAGCGTGTTTAGAGTCCTCCTCGCTGATCTTCCATGCTTCCCAACGGGAGCGATATAGAATCATAGAATCATAGAATGGTTTGGGTTGGAAGGGACCTCAAAGATCATGGAGTTCCAACCCCCTGCCCTGGGCAGGGACACCTCCCACCAGACCAGGTTGCTCCAAGCCCCATCCAGCCTGGCCTTGAACCCCTCCAGGGATGGAGCAGCCACAGCTTCTCTGGGCAACCTGTTCCAGTGTCTCACCACCCTCATAGTAAAAAATTTCT